GAGGGACACTGGCACGTCCTTCACGCCCTACCGAGGTCACGAGTTACCCCCCCCCCCCCGGCATGGCCATAACACCAGACACACAGAAACCAATCTCGTAATTATCTGTCTCTTTGCTGAAATCCAAAATTGTGGCCGCGTGACATTATATGATTCTCATAGCCAGCTATAGAAAACAAAATAGTTCACAATGTCTTTTCAGGAATTCTGATTGTTTGGGGGAAAATTCTAAACAATAATGGTGCATCTTTTGTTGAAATCATGAATGTAATCAATGTAGAGAAGAGTTAAGTAGAAATCATCTGCCTCACAGGCATTTGGAGGGGTGGGAGGGGGGTATACTGGGGTTCTTGGTGGTGAAAAATGAGTACTAGTGAAGGAAAAGGTGTTTGATTATTATATGACCGAGACTTAAACCGGAAAGCTTAGTAACTTTTCCCACAGTGATTCAATAAATAAATATAAAAATTTTTTAAAAATTTTAAAAAAAAAGTCACTCCTGGTAATGCCTGGGGGAACACATGTGATCTGAGGAATTAGAACCAGGGTCAGTCACATGCAAGGCCAGCACTTCACCTCCTGCACTCTCTGGCCCTCGATTAACATGCTAACAAAAGAATGAGAAATCTTCTTAACATTGGAGCAAGAATATTTTCAACCACTACATAGTTAAACAGTTTTTTGTCTGAGAAAATGAAATAGCATCTTGGGAAATTAAAAATGACAAATATGGTTTACATTCTTTAGAACATGAGAATTTGGTAGAGAAGGTCACTTAAAAATGACAATAAAACAGCTGTAACTGAAATATGTACAAAGTAAGAAACAATCTGATATGAGGACAGAAGGAAAATGAGCTCCCAGTCAGTCAACACAAAAGCACCTTCCAAAAGCAGGTGGAACTTGAGTAGACAAAGTATAAACTGGGTAAGACTTTGGGGAGTGGGTAAAGAACTGGCTAAACAGAGAAAAGAGAATGAGTAAAATGTCCAGAAAAATCCAAGAACAGACTATTTTTTAGTGTAAAAAGTACAGGTTGCTGGAAAAAAATTATAGAGATTTTATTAACTGAAACAAAATAATTCTATGTTCCGAAAGTAACTGAATTTAGTTTTAAATATCTTAAACATGGCCTTCACATCTTCATTTTTACTTTTGTAAGTTCATCTCACCCATTTGAAATCTCCTAGTATATATTTTTTATTCTAGCATAAAACATAATTATTCTAATGTATAAATGTTAACTATTAATTTAATTGCACCATAACACTGGGAGCAGGTGTTTTATCTCACTTTTCCCTCCATTATTTTTTGTTTTGTTTCAGGTTTTTTTTGTTTTTGTTCTTGTTTGGGGACCATATCTGGCAAAGCTCAGGATTTACTTCTGGCTCTGCACTCAGGGATAACTCCTGGCAGTGCTCAGGGCACTGTATAGGATGCCAGAAATCAAAACTGGGTCAGCCTCATGCAAGGCAAATGCCCTACCCACTGTCCTACTGCTCCAGACCCAACTTGTTCCTCCAATATTTATTAACATATAAGATATATAGAGAATAGAACAATTCAAAGATGTACAACTAATTTTGGGGTCAGAGTTTGCCTATAACAACAATCTCAAGAGGAAGAACTGGAATGATCCAACATCAGGAAGTCCCTTTCCGGGTTTTTCCAAGCACCAATCTTCCAACCACAAACAGCCCCTGTGTCAGGTAATTAATACATCTACTTCTAGCATCATAAATAAGCTCTGACTCTTTTGTCAAATATATAAATTGAATTTTAAAAACCCTTATGCCTACCTACTTTCTCAAGATTATTTTGATGAAACCTGTCCACAGCATATTTAGCAATAGTTTACATAGGAATGCAATATTCAATTACAAGATTTTATCAGAATTTATTTATCCATTGTGCTTTGAACGAACATCTGGATTGTTCTCAATTTGGGAATAGCTGCTGCAGACATTCTTGCAAACATTTGTAATACAAGTGTAATCAGTTCTTATACCCAGGAATGGATTTACCAGGGTATAAGGTTGTACAACATGTTTGTACAGATTTATACATCAACCAGCAATACATGAGAGATTTCCTGCCCATATTCTCACCAATACATTAAAGGTTGAATTTCATCCTTCAGCCGAGTATGTACTAATTTCTAGATGTGCTTTTGGAACAATGCCCTCATGTTTTTTGGTCGTTACATTATTATGGCACGTCTACATGCTATTTTAAGTGTACTTAGTAGAGCCTTTCCTTCAACATCATTGTTCCCTGCCAAAGGTGTCTAAGGGGTGAGAAATTGATGGAACATTTTAAGCAATTATTGAGAGGATTGTATCCTCCACAGAAAGAAACAATTTTCTTGTCTCTATTATTTTACCTATCTTTATTCCTTTTCATAATCTATTTACCTACCTTTCTTCTTCCCTTTTACACTTCCAGACCATAGACAATAAAACAGAAGTCAGTTAACAAAATCTAAGCACACTATAAAAAGTTAAAGAGCTCTGCTGAGAATACGAACATAACAAATATGCTTTCTTACTTTATGAATGTCAAATGTGTTATTTTTTAAATAAGTAAAAATACTAAATATGCCTATTTATTGTTTGAAAAGGAACATACAAAAGCAATCGTGAGGAAAAGATTTATACTAGGATAAATCTAAGTGTTTTAGCTTTTGCAAATTTATAAACAGATACTACCCAGTGAACATTTTAAAGCAAAAAGCTGAAAGAATGTGGAACAAAATAGCATATGTTATGAAACAAAACTTGTAAAAAAAAAGAACATACAAATGGGTGTTTAGCTTCACTTCCTCTAAAGACTAAACACAAGTTATATTCGGCAAAATTAAAGTGGCCATGACCTCTTTCCCTCCTCTGCATGATTAATTACTTAATATCCTATTAATTGGAAGATGTGGCTGAATTTCAAATACTCATTTTCTCTGCATATCATCCAGTACTGTAACCACCGATTAAACCGTTCATCAAAGGTGAGGCAACAAGGTCATCTGAACAGTAGCTCTTCAGCTATTCATTACCCATCTTCAATGGTAATTAACAATGGTAGCATTTCCATAAATCAACCTCTTTCTGATTATTCTCTGATGATAAACAGTCAAAATCTGTGCACCCCAGCTGAACTTTTTTAATTTTATATTTAAAAAAATACAATCTAAATATACCACAAGAGGCTGGGAAGAGTGCAGATTGATTATTATAGAATTGTTTTTTAATTAAAATATATCAAGAATATAAGGTTTTGTACCTTTAAAAGAAAAATGCAAACCTCTACCCCAAACTAAATGAGTTGGCTGACAGCTCAGAGCTGGGTTCAAACATAAGGATGTCTGCCACATAGTAACAATTTATTCCTCTGGCAAGGAAATTATGGCTCAGTTCAGCTTCAGAAATAACCATTTGCCTACTCACCCATGGAAAGTGACAATTTAGAATAGAAAGCTGATTTAATTCACCCTACTTTCAAACAACATATCACACCGTATACCAATAAATCCTTCAAAAGGATATATTTACTATATTCATTTAAAACCCACAATTTGGAAATGTGACTTTTAGGTTTTGTTTAGTCTATGAACTTGTGGTGTGATACTATTACTGTGCTTTTTTATTTATTGGTTTTATATAATTTTAGTTAGCAAGTTCAGAGATGCTACTGACAAAATGTCCTTCCTCCAAACATCAGAATTGAATTTTCACACCTAAGGGCAATGTCTTAAATTCATACTCACTTTAAGAAAGTCTTCTGAAATTGTAAAAAATTATGTATAAAGTAGTTTGCAATAATCATAAAATTATAATTTAAATATTTGACATACATTATTCTGAAGTAACATGTAACATAATTATAAAATTAGTCATATATTCCTAAATAGGAGGAAAAGCATTCCTTTTAGCATGGCATTATAAAATCCCTACTTAAATTTTCAATCTTCAGTATTTATTAAGTCATTGCTAAATATGTGTTTTATTTGATAAGATGCCAAGCATATATGCAACATGCAATTAATTTCAAATCAATATGTAAGGATTAACTGGTACACGTATTAGTCTATTAATGTATGAAATGGAACATGTAACTTAACAGACTAGACCACTGTGTTAATGACAAGAGACAACAATTCGAATTGCTTAAACATTATTATTAATTCACAAAAACAGAAATCAAAAGGCAGATCAAGTTCTATAGAAACAATGAACAGGACTCAGGGTTCTAAGTTTCTACAGTTCATTCAGAAAAGACCTTCTGGACTTGACAATCTCTATCTCCAGGCTGCTTCACCTCTGATACAAATGACTGGTTTATAAAGACAAGGAGATAATGCCTGGTCCTGGTTTCAGTCCCCAGCATCCTCCTGCCCCTGCAGCACCTTCTTGAATGTGACCACATATAAAATCCCCGAGCACCACTGGGGTGTAACCAAACACAAAGACAAACACAAGTCTTTCCCTTCATTCCGACTGGATCAAACCAGTCAGGTTTAATGGAATAGGTAAGGAGTTAGCTTATCACACAATTCCACTTTTGCTGTTTAGAAGCAAACACCCAGCAGTGGCACATATCAAACCCAGGATTTCAAAAATGGAAGATCTTTGCTCACCTTCTAAGCTACATCCCTACTCTGGTCTCACATTTTTAATTAGAAAGGACTTTGTTTTTTGCTTTTAGTCTTTTATAGGTTCATATTTATAACATTGGGCGGATACACTAATATTTATACCCAATACTTAAATTTCTTCAAAGTCAGAGATGACAGAAGTATAGTGAGTATTGCTAAAGACTATTGAGATGCAGAAAGATTCTGAGAAAAATACAAATAACACAATTACGCTCATATCTAGTTAAGTAGCACATTAGAATAAATCACTTATTCTAAAAAACTACTGTACTAGACTGAAAATAAGAAGATACTCCGTATTCTACAACAGACCCCAAACCCCTCCACAATAGGTAATCAGAAAGAAGCCCACCTTGTGGCATCTCAGGTGGCAGATAATGGGGTTCTTGAGCACTCACATGTACCCATTCAAAGTCATCATACAGATCCTGGTGATAATCACAGGCCCCTGGGCCATCATCAAAAGTACAGCCACCTAAAAGCAGAAAAGAAAAATTATTGTTTTAGTATAGACGGAGTTGTTAAAATGTACAATGCACTGAGGAAATGAACAACAGATTGAAGTATGTGACCCAATATTTGTAATTTATTTGCTTAACTGGGTTTGGCTGGGGAGCCACACCCTGGCCCTGTGCTCCATGATTATTCCTGATACTGTTTTGGCGACAATATGCATACGGGGATTGAACTACTGAACATGGGTTGGCTACATGCAAAGCAAGTGCCTTAACCCTGGCATCATCCCTTGGGTCCAGGCTCTTACAATTTAAATTAAAACAATATTATTATTTATCACTATGCTTATCAATTTTTTATGAATTATAATTTCTATTTGAAAGAGATAACTGTTTGAACATCAGAAAGATGACCGAAGCTCAAATTCTGAACGCTAACAAAGAACAGAAGACACAAATATAATGACGTATTTCTGAAACATATAAACTACCTAAAATCTGAATAGTAATAACTTTAGAGGAGACAGAGTTCAATGACGGGTGAACAACAAAGAGTGAAAACATTTTCTCTGTAATGCAAGTTCAAAAAGGTGAGGCTGATACTTAAGTTCATCATGAAACTTACTTCTAAAAAGCACTTTGAAATCAACTCATAATAACAAGTGAAATAGACATCATTTTATAGGTTTTAAAATGTCGAGGTCAGTGGTTTATTCATCCACACTACTTCGATCATTTCTGTACAGTTTAGTATAAAATGAAAAAGAAACTAAAGTATAAAATCTACCAAATTAACTTATAATCAGGGTGCCACTTTGACTTTATCTAACAACTTTTTCTTTTTTTTTATAGTAGGACATCTTTCCTCTTTAATTCAGTCATTTCCTAACTAAATTTTAAGTAGAAATATTATTGCAAAAGTACCTGATAACTTTTACTCTTACTTCTCTGTCAAATGTACCCAAAACTATTTACTTTATTCAAATCATCGAAAAAGTTCTGGCCTGTATGTCTAATCTTGAAAGAAAATGGATTAGAACTAATGAAAACCCTGCAGTGGACTTAATGAGAAAAACCAATAACCTATCTTCTTTCAAGTACCTTATTTGTTTAGTTTCCATGGGGATCTTAAAGAAGAAGCTCAGTGAATTCTCTGACCAAACAGCAGGCTAAGAGATGGTAAACTTCAGCTCTATAAATTCTTTTCTGTAAACATGGAATTCATTTTCTCACACCATCAAAAGTTTGCCCAACGTATGGGTCAAGGAGAAGGTCTGCAGTGCTGAAGTGCACGTTTTGCATGCAGGAGCTCTGGCTTGATCCCCAGCAACACTGAAAAGGGGAACAAACCCAAAACACCACCACTGAGCAATACTGAGTGTGCCTTGCAATAGTTTGTCCAACTTAATATAAATAAAAGTCATCTTCAACAAACAACCATAACAGAAAAAAAGAAGACAAGAAAGGCAAGGGTGACAGATACAGGGTAAGAAGGGTATGTATACAGTGCAAGTATACGGTACACAAAACAACTTCTTGTATTACCTTTCTTTTTCTCTTTCTTTCTTTTTTATTTTTGAGTGGTAGGATCCCAAAGAGTAAAACTACAAGGACTGCAAAACTGTCATATTAGCTCAGACTACATGAGGCAATGCCAGAAACTGAACTAAAGACCTTAGTATCTTCTGGTTTGTAAGACAGGTACTTTAGTGACTGAGCTATCCGAAGAGAGTAACCAACGTTCTTTGTCAAGAGCGAAATGTCCATAAGCTAAGTTTATGAATACACCAATTCTATAAAGGACCAAACTTGAGCATCAGGACAGCTTAAAAGATTTTTTTAGTGAGCATAAAATGCAATCTGACTAAATGATCTCATGAAAAATTATGTATTTTTAATTTGAAAGTCAATTAATAAAGAGGCTGCTAGGCTGCTAGGAAGCACAGGGAAAATTTTACTCAAAGTATAGCATGTGATCCGTCACTGTCCATCACTGTCCTCCCGTTGTCCTCCCGTTGTTCATTGATTTGCTCGAGCGGGCCCAGTAATGTCTCCATTGGAGACTTTGTTGTTACTGTGTTTGGCATATCGGATACATCACAGGTAGCTTGCCAGGCTCTGCCATGGGGGCAAGATACTCTCGGTAACTTGCCAGGCTCTCCAGAGGGGCGGAGGAATCGAACCTGGTTTGGCCATGTTGGCTGCGTGCAAGGCAAACGCCCTACCGCTGTGCTATCATTTAGCATCCCAGGAGCACCTGGGCCAGAACAGGGAACATGGCCATCACCAGAAAACCCTCCCGGCCTCCTCCCACCTCCGCTCTGCTGAGTCTGACCACAGGATTCATTGGCCCATTCTTAATGACTTTGCAGTTTGTACTCTCCGCCTTCAGTGTACCCACTGCCCTCTAAATTGCTGTGGGTGTACTTCATATATAAATTTAAGCTAGCAGTAGAACCTACATTGGCTCATTTGGAAGACGAATAGTCTTAATTGCTGTCCTTCATAGACACTGTTAATTTGACACTCCAGAATTCTGATTAGCAACAACAACTAGGAGTAGCTATACAAAATAAGTGGGTCAACCCTGCTATTTGTTGCACATCACTGCCATATTAGCCAAGAGTCTTTAAAAATGGTTACCGCTCCACTTGAACTAGGTGCTAAGAAAAAAAATTAAGAGGATTTTTTTTTAATTTTACAAATTACTATAAGAACCATATTTCTAGATTGGGGATGCTGCTCAGCTATAACACTGGCCTTTCACATATCAGGCCCAGCAACCAGAAAATAAACTACTTCTATTATCTATTTATCACCTGTAGAGCTAATTATCCTTTGGAAAAAGATTTTTTAATCTTTTTATAAAGTTATCGTATATTTGGGCTGGAGCGATAGCACAGTGGGTATGGCGTTTTCCTTGTGTTGGCCAACATAGCTGACCCGAGTTTGATTCTTGCACCCCTCTCGGAGAGCCCGGCAAGCTACCAAGAGCATCTCGCCTGTAGGGCAAAGCCTGGCAAGCTCCCCGTGACGTATTCAATATGCCAAAAACAGTAACAAGAAGCCTCACAATTTGTTGTGAGATGTTACTGGTGCCCGCTTGAGCAAACCGATGAACAACAAGAAGACAGTGCTACAGTGCTATCGTATATTTAAATTTCAATGAATAATACTGGGTACATAAAGTCACAAAAAAAAGGGTATTAGTGTTGGAGAGACTGTACAGAGGTTCAAGTGCTCACCTTGCACACAGCCGATACATGTTTAATATCCTGCATCCCATAAGGTCCCCCTAGCCCACCAGGAGTGATTCCTGAGAGCAGAGCTAGGAATAAATCCTGAGGACCACCAGGTGTAGCCCAAAAAAAGACAAAAACTAAAGTATATTATAACAGCTAGTAACTGTATAACCGAAGTCACAAAAAGCAAGCTGACAAATAAACTGGCTTCCTAGATCCTCGTTGGTTAGGAAAGACTTTACAGAGTTAGGCCTATGAAAATGTGTAATGCTGTGCTAGGCCACAATGGAAATGAAATTAAAATCTGAGAAAAGGAAAAAGTAAACAATGCCATCTTAAAAAAAGAAAAGTATGTTGGAGAAGCAAAAATATTCTCAATGTTTCTGCCTCATGTGCATTAAAAATCATGTAAGGAAAAAGGTCAAAGGAAAAATAATTATGAAGGCGGGGTGGTGTGGCAGGAGGGATACTGGGAACATTGGTGGTGGAGAATGGGCACTGGAGGTGGAGGGATGGGTACCGAACATTGCACGAACAAAACATAATCACAAAGTTTGTAAGTATGTAAATAAATAATTTTTTTTAAAAAGGGAAACAGAAGGGGGAAAAATTATGAAAAACTTTAGATATACAACATTTACATTTCATTCTATAATTGTATTCAAGTCATTAAAGGGTTTTGTTCAGGTGCATACCACAGATCATGTCACACTGAAAACCTTAATAAGTACAAGCCACGTAGAATTTAAAAAGAAACTCTGGCAGGCACATTGAACTTCAAGCGAAAGAGGGTGGCTGTGGGAAAGAGTATGGAGAAAGATCATTTGTTCACCCCTCTAATAGCGTTCATTACATCTTAGAGGACTGGCCTATAAACAAGCACTGTTTGCCATTTAAGATTCAATAAGAAGCCTTAACCACGGTCTTCTATGCTCTATAGAACTCCATACACAACGTTTTGAGTTTAAGACCTTCTTATATTACAACCTACTATAAAGCAAAATAACTGGGGCCAGGAAGACAGTAAATGAGCCATAGGATATGTTTTTCATCCAGGAGCGCATATTCTATCCCCAATGGCAAATGCTCCTCCAAGCTCGATGGGGAGGGATCACTGAGCACTGAGCTGTGAATAATCCTTAGCACTATTGGGTATGGATAAATAAATAAATAAATAAATAAATGCTAATTCAACAGTCCTACTTTTTTCAATACATTAATAACTTTAAAAAGTCCTGGAAGGGGCTGGAGCAATAGCACAGCAGGTAGGGCGTCTGCCTTGTATGTGTCCGACCCGGGTTCGATTCCCAGCATCCCATACGGTTCCCCGAGCATGCACAGGGGTTACTCCTGGTTAATTCCTGAGTGCATTAACCAGGAGTAACCCCTGTGCATTGCTGGGTATGACCCAAAAAGGAAAAAAAAAGAAAGTCCTGGATTAGGTTAGTGAGAGTGAAGCTGATGGAGATGCCTGAGGCTCCGAGGTAGCTCTCAGTGCTCTGAACAGTAGATGGGGCCACAACATTTCTGTGTGAGTGAACGTGGGTGTCCCTGGAGTATCCTATCTCAGGGAGAGCACCGGCCTGGAAGGGGACCCACCAGCTGGCAGACTATGGCAGCTAAGGGTGCTGTGAGTGGCAGCAGAGCCTGTATGTGTCTGAATGGGGTTCTATGGCTCCAACTCGGCACCCTGGAGGACTCAACAGAGCACCCTGGGTTCCCACCATGGGGCGCCAGGATTCGCAACCAGCCAGGCAGCCTCACCACCATTTCTTGCC